GTTATGATATACAGTGTATCTGTATTAATTTTCTATTTATCTTTGTCTGTATTTGAATATGGAAGTAGATTTTTTCGATGGTTTGTATAATATTAATTGGTATGTTTCTTTTATACAGTAGGTGTAAGACGTCTTCGACTTGAATGCAATCGAAAGCCTTTGTCAGGTCTATAAAACATAGATATGCTGGTTTATTGTACTCGATGGCCTTTTCTGTGATTTGTCTTAGTACAAATATGATATCTACCCAGGATCTTCCTGATCTGAATCCTTGTTGTTCATCTGATATAGTTGTCAGTTTATTGATTTTGTTGGTTAGGACTTTTATAGTAAGCTTAAGTGTGGTGTTCAGTAGATTTATACCTCTATAATTGTTGGGGTCTTCTTTATCTCCTTTGTTGAACATTGTTATCATTATGCTGTTTCTCCGTGCGTCTACAATATTAGTTTTTGTATAAATTTTTTCATCTCTAGGGTTATACTTTCTCCTCCGTGATTTAGAAGCTGGTTGGTTATACCGTCTAATCCTGGTGACTTTCTATTTTTGAGTGAATTTATGAGTCCATGACTTATCGAAACACTACCTACACGATTATAATGGGCGATTTTAATGCGAAATGGGCAAAAAACTAGAAGAAAACGAAAACTGTATTGGATAATTTGGACATGGGGTAAGAAATGAAAGAGGAGATCTATTGGTTAACTATCTAGAAAACAACAAATTATTTGCCATGAACTCTTTCTTCAAGAAAAAGCCACATAGAAAATGGACGTGGATGTCGCCAGATGGGAACACTAAAAATGAAATTGACTACATACTAACAAACAAAGAACATTTTCGAAGACGACACAGTAATAAACTCAATCTCTACTAGTAGTGATCACAGAATGATACGGGCTAAAATAAGTATTAAGCACAAAAAAGACCGAAGACAATATGTGCACTCTAAAAAAAGTCCACCCAGAAAAATTAAAGGAGAATAAAGAACAATAACAAAACAAAGTAAGAACAGCTGAAGAACTAAAGCTAACATACCTAAATCTAGATCAACTAAACAAAGCCATAACTGAACAACTTCTAAAGACTAGCTTAGAAGTAGCACCAGCAAAATCAGACAAAAAATCAAAACTAAGTGCCATATCTTTAGACATGCTACAACAACGGAGAAGCATACTACAAGAAAATAAAAGAAATACAACTAAATACAAAACCCTTAATACAGAAATAAGAAGACATAATATATAAAACAAGATCTCAAACGGCATCAAGAAGAACGAATCGAGAAGATTATAGAAGAAAGAATTGCAGAATCACAATACATATAAAAAAGCATATAAATAGCTGGCATGTAAGAATTTATGGTAATGGCATGGAACCAGCCACAACATTGTTCACAGACACGGTGAACAAAATACAAATAGCGCTGATGATTGGCATGCCACACTCAGAAGAAATATGTGCCAGAGCACGGCTCGCTGAGAAGTATTTTATGCAACCTTAGCAGATCTAAGATGACAGTACACGCCACATTTTTGTTTGTTGATTTCTAACGAATTGATCACTTTTTATAAACACGATCAATTATGTTATTTAAGGATGAAAATTTTATTATACGGTAATGTTTTTAGTACTACATTGATATCAAGAAATATTTAACATTGTGGCAACATTGCGGAAGTCCAAAGAGTACTAAAGAGGTAGGGCAAAAAATTTTGATCACATTCACACATCTTTCCACCTGCAGAAAGAACTACAAATTATAAGAGAAACGAACATGTAAAGGTGACTTACAATATAAACATAACCTTATAATAAAAAGATTGTAAATTAACTGTTTTTCTAGTCCTTAGATAATATCTATTGGAATTTCTATTTTCCTTTTGATCGTGGATAAGTGGGTGCAAATAATTACGGAGCAAATGAGATTTATCAGCGCTTTTTGAATACCTAATTGTTGTAAATATATAATATTTACATACATTATTTAATATAATATATAAAGACCTATATAATATGTATATAGACTTTAAATAAGCTTGTGATAGTGTGAAAAGAGACAGAATGCTGGAAGACCTTTGTAATCTAGGTATACCTAAGAAATACATCAGCCTCATAAAAATGACGTTGCAGGGTTCAAAAGCCGCAGTCAGAGTAGATGGAGAACGGACTCACTTGTTTAACATCAACATGGGAGTAAGACAGGGAGATGCCCTATCAACCATGCTATTGAACCTAGTTCTTGAGGCAGTCATCAGAAAAACCAATATAACCGGCCATATAAACACCAAATCAGTACAAATTACTGCATATGCAGACGATGTAGCCATCATTAGTAGGAATAAGCCACGACTAATGGAAGTGTTCAAACAAATTGATCCTGAAGCAAGAAAAAGAGGTCTCAAAATAATCGAAGCAAAAACGAAGTATATGACAGTCATAAGAATAACTGACAATGAAAATAATATCACAATAGACAACTATGCTATTGAACGAGTGTATGGCTTTACATATCTCGGCACAGAAATCAATCAGAAGAACTCCGTAAGTAGCGAAATTAATGCACGTATTTCCACCGGGAATCGTACATACTATGCTAATAAAAGACTGATGACATCGAAATTATTAGACAAAAGAACCAAAATGACTATCTACAGAACACTGATTAGACACGTAGTAACCTATGGATGTGAAACTTGGGTAATGACGAAAAAAGATGAAGCCCAACTCAGGACATTCGAGAGAAAAATACTGAGGAAAGTATATGGCCCGGTACAAGAGGAAGATGGCACATGGAGAATCAGGAGAAACGACGAGGTTAATGAGTTAAATGAAGGTTATGACATTGTAAGATTTGTGAAAAGTCAAAGACTGTCATGGCTGGGACATGTGCAGAGACAAAACGATGCAAAAACAACAAAGAAAATGTTACAATGGAAGCCCATAGGAAGGCGAAAAAAAGGAAGGCCCAGAACGAGATGGTTGGATGACATGGAAGACAAAGAAGAAGAATTGTTGTAAATAGAAATCATGATTGTGATTAAGAAATTGCATTTTTTGTGGTCGAAATATTTCACCTTTATTGGGTTTTCTGCAATATTTCCACATTCTGAAAATATCTATGATATAAGTACTACTGAAAGTTTTCCATATAAAAATTTTATAAATCAGTTTGCGATAAAAAAGTTTTTAGGATTTAAAAAATAACGAAAGAATTTAGTAATTTTTAATACCTGATCAAGAATATATTATGAATATTTACGGGCTTTCCTAACCATTCGTTCAACGCTTGCAATAATACTTAAATATTTATTTTAACGAGATTCATTTTTTCTTCTTATCAGTCAAAGCAATTTATGGATCGTCGTGCACTACTTTTAACTGTGACCAAAAAGGAAGCCAATCTTTCAAGTCTCCATTAAATTTCTTGCACTCGATTGGAGGTAATTTAAATTTACGCTTACCTTTTATACTTGATGACTGAACTTACTGAACCTCATATTTGTACTTAAGTTCAAAATACCTTGTACTGTATTTATTCTTTGCCTCCATACTGATTAACTCTTCATCGGAAGCTTCTTCCAATATACTTTCAAGTACCGCACTTTCCACTTCACAAAGCTCATTGTACTTTACTTGTAAAAGATCCCACTGTACGCTAATTTTGTGCCAGGGTCGAGTATCCACAGGCTCAGCTAGCAAACTGTCCAAAACAGAAGCAACTTTCGTAAATGCACTAGGAAGCACCGTTATGCTTTTTTTATCTGATTTCCCTTTTCGCTTAACACGTTGCCTGCCGTCTCGATCTATGTGATCGAGAAAAAAGTTGCTCTGCACGCCAGCGAGGTCTATTTGACCGAGAACTTTAATGTAACTGTGATGCCGTCTCGGTGACTATGGCGTGAACGGAAATTATTTCTCTACGGCAGGCAACGGGTTGAAAAGTTTAACTTTGGTCGAGCCTCACGACAAAAACAAAATTATTCGCCGGAAAAAAGTTTGCACTAAAATAAGCGAAAAAAACTAGCTTTTAAGCACACTCATATACAAGTCCTGTCACGCTCGCCAAATGTTACGGTAGGAATGTCCTACGATTAATTTTAGCAAGAGACTCCTGGTTCGAAAAAATACAAAATTAAATTTCTATTACAAAAAAAATTACTTTTGTATTAAAATACACAAATGTGACTAAAGTTTTACTTAATTCAGTGATACAATTCCACTGACTATATCTACATAACCCTAATATTAATATTACGATATTCCCTACATTTCCAGACAAAAAGTCTGCCAAAAAGTAAAATTCAATTGCCTTCACCAGCGCTCTGCTAGAGAGGCAATGCGCTGATTAGGGAATTTTTTAAATAAACATATTAAATAGTTACTCGACATATTCTATTGAAATATTTGCTATTTGATCCCATAATTGGTAAATGTCGGACGTCCAAAAAACGTCCAAGTCCAATAGAACGTCAATATTTAGTCCACCCAAAGTACATCCCACTTCGTACGCCCCGAGTACGTCCGTTTAACGTCCAGGGATTGCCGGACCAAAACTGGACGTATATTGGACGTCCAGAGGACGTCGTGTGTTACTAGGGAATAGTTCTAGTTCATTTACTAATCATAATCCTGGTATCCAGAGTGCATCCGGATACGCCAACTAGCTTTAAACTTATTTAGCTAAAATATTCTTATTTTTACATGTTTTAGTATGATACGCTCCTGGATTCTGTATTAAATATTTCGCTAATAATTAGCAATAAATAATGTATTTCTAGACAGAGAAAAGTATCGAAAATTATCGATTTTATTACGTTATATTAAATATAGACCGCCGCGCCGCAATAGATAATGATGAAAAATATTTCTCATAATAAATATACGCAACTTTAGAGAATTTCTCATTTTAGATCTGGCAACGCTGGGGGAGATGAGAGCAGATATGACACCAGCTGTAGCGAGCGGCTAGTAAATCCAACCAATTTCAATTTCCAATTTCAAACGAGTTGTGTTTGTTGGGTTGGTGTTGGACTGTTGACTAACTGGGTTTTATTACAGACTGGTTCTCGACAGTTTATTAGGAAAGGTGCTTGTGTGGCAATTCGGTTTTCGTTTTTGTTTATTTTGAATTGTTACTGTTGTTTTCTTATTGAATTAGATCATTTAAACTGTTTTGTTTTTATTATCGTACCGACTTAGTATTCTATGCAAACAATGCGGTTTCTGTTATTTTAGTGATCTAAATACCTCTCTCTGTGAATTGTGAAGATACTGTCTGATTGCGTTTTTAGAGACTGTTAAGCTGTTTTACTTACCTTTGACGACCAAGAGTTTCAAGTAAGTAATTAAAACTTTTAGTTTTCAGAATTAACCTACTTTTGTATCCAACTGTTACATGTGGTCCTACACTGAAATTGAATCCAGAGCTAACTGGCAATGAGTAGCATCGATAAATCATTTCATTTGCTTTTCTAATAGTTATATAATACATATTTTAATATTATGAAGGTACATATGTTTGCGGAAAATTCGCCTAACTGGGTCATTTTCTAAAGCTGGTCCTACCAATAGTAAACTTTGACATTGCTGTACAAATAATTCGAATCTACTTAAATCTGACCTAAATAATATATTTAATCTATAAAAAACACTCTAGCTATAGTAACTGCAACGTTTTCATTGACATGTGACCTATAAATTAAGTCTCAACAATACACCTACAAGGAAATTAAATTGAGATTATCTCAACTATAAGGATATTGCTCGTTTTATTGACTATTCAACAATTGATTACTTTCCGTTGCCGTTTTGGTATCATTCTAACAGGATGTTTCTGTTTTCACATATGATTTTTGTTTGGTTTGTTTCAGTTTATGTAAGCCATGTGAGTTTGGCCAATCTAATAATAACAGAAATTGATGGACTTTGCACTTTGTACCCTGGTAATACCTTGTACCTATAAATTATTGTTTACATTTTTGCTCTTCACTCATCCTTCAAAACTAATTAGGATGAGATTAGGAGATATAAGTGCTATTACAAGTGATTCAAGTAGATGGATAGTTTTTTTATATTAATATCTTAAAAACTTTGAAATTAGTACTTATACCATTTTAATTTTGTATAAGTATACATTTTGAACAAATTCTGTGGTAAAGACATAGCTGCCTTTAGTTTTTTTTTGTAATGGACTGTTTTTTATCTGAGGAAAGATGTTATATTAATATAATATACTTTTCCATTAGTAATACTTGGAGTTGCTAATTTTAGATTTAAGATATCTTAAATTAAAGGTCTCCATGTCCATACAGGAAGACTGTTATTATTGACAGCAACTGTGATAGTTCTTTTATTTTTTATTTTGATTTTGGTTATAAGTATCAGTTTTTATCAACAAAATTGACCTATATAAATAAAAGAACATTTTTTTTCATTCATACTTTCCTTAAAATATATCCTCCTCTACTCAAAGGTCTTTTTAAGTTCTAATTATTACTGTTACTTCTAATTATAAATGATACCTTCCTTCACTGGCTCTTAGATCTTTCAAAGTATTCTTCTTTCAAAAATTTGAAGGGAGGACTTATCTGTCTTTAATAAGCACATACCATTTTTGATTTGTGTACAATGGTTCCACTTAGCTTCAATCTTTTTACTGCCACAAGAATTTTTTATGTAGGTATAATAAGCCAACTGGCTTCAGTATGACCATTTTATAATAAGACAGCTAAGAAAAAAGGTGTGAAAAGCCTTGTTAAAAAGTAGGGCCAAGTCTAGAGGTTTTGCTGCCTGGGTGCAAGAACCAAATTTGACGCCTCATCAGCAGTTTTGGAAAACATGTATCATAAGAAAACATCGCAAATTAGAGAAAATCAATGACAATTTTGAACATTTAAATCATAAAAATATATTTATTAAATCAATGAATATATACATACCATAATATAATGTACATAAATATAATTTGGTATAAATAAAATACAAAAATCTACATAGTTATTTTACGAAAAATAAAGTAAAATAAAGAAACAAGAAATACACCACTAGGTAGGTATCCACGTCTAAATACTAAAATAGAATTTTCTTGTCTTTTTAAGTGCAAATTCCCTAGCTAGGTCAGTCACATCTAAATTAAAACAAATATCTACCTCGATACTTATTATAGTTAAATTTGTAAGCCTGGATTGGCTTGTGGTATATCTTAGGTAGTTTTTTATTAATTTAAGTTTTAAATTTTAAAACAATAAAAAGTTACCTAAATTGCAGTTTGGCTTCAGAAGAGGATGTTCAACCATTGAAAATATAAGTAACCTAGTAAGTGATATAAATATCGCTTTTACTAACAACAAATCACTTCCAGCAATTTTTGTAGATATAGAATCAGCATATGATAATGTAATATTAGACATTTTCTATGAAAAAATGGGAATCACTCAAGCTTTGACCTCACATATCAGATTACTATATTCCCATATAACAGTTTCAATAAATATAAATGATGAAATATTGGGCCCTAAAATGACCAATATTGGGTTACCACAAGGAAGTATAGTAAGCCCTGTACTATACTTAGTATACACAGCAGATCTGGAATTTAAAATTAAATGTGAGGCCATTTCTATACTGATATGACCATTTCTATATGATATTTGTATATATTCACCATGCCAATATATTGAAGAAGGGTGCAAAAAAATTAAATATAGCTTATAAGAACCTCAATAAATGGTGTAATGAAAATGGTCTAAAAATTTCCAGGAAATAAACAAAAGTTTGCATTTTCATGAGAAAAAGAAAAAACATTCCAACCGAATTAACATTTTATACAACAAAGTATAGCACACATGCATCAGTAAAATACCTAGGAATGTATCTAGATAAAAAAATTACATGGAAAAGTCACAATGAAATTGCTTGCCACATAAAGCCCATATTAATAACAGAATGGAGAGAAATGTATAGAAGCAGTCAAAAAGGAAAATTTTATAAAAACAAAGTTACGGAGCCTACTAGTAAATCTTGGTTCTCAAGACTGTCAGGAAGTAAGCGGTTTTTCTCTGTATTGTGCAGATTAAGGTTCAACCATGTTTTAACTCGTCAGTATAAATATAAAACAAAATTAAGTGATTCTCCTAATTGTCCATGCGGAGAAGAAGGTGCAACAGAGCACATGATGTTAGGCTGTTCTAAAATAAGTAATGAAGTAAAAGTATTAAGTGAAGAAATAACCAAAATACCCAAAATCATCAAACTATGTAACCTAACCCAATTATTAAGTTCAGAAGATTGTAATATTTATCAAATTTTGTATAAACATATTTTATGTATTTTTTCTTCGTGCAAAGCCTTAAGTCTATCCAAGGTCGCTCTCGCCTAAATGCTCTGATCGACCGCTTAGCATCAAATTGTATCCTAGTCTAATATCCCATATTATATAAGATAAAAAGATATGAGAAAAAAAATCAAAGTAAGCTGAATATGTTATAAGAGAAAAGAGAAATAAAAATCTAGTGTATAATTGTAAAATTAGATATAGAAAATATTTCTTTCTAAAATTAGAGCAGGACTATGATTGTATAGTAAACAAGAAGAAAGCAAGGAACACTCTTTTAGAGCTTCCGATCAAAAAATACAAAATAATTCCATAAAGGTAAGATGGAGAATGGACAGAGACTCCGAAGCCAATAATGCACAAACACACACACACACACACCCATACATTATTTAAGTTCTAAAAATACAGAAAAGAGTATAAAGCTCCAAGCTAGTCTACAGTACTATCTACTGTTTCATTTTTTTTACTAGCAATACATTTGTGGTTTTCTGTTGTTCTCATATTCTACTTAAGTTATCAATATGTTATAAAAACATATTTTTCAATACCTTGTTTTTCCAATATCGCTTAGCTTTACTTAGAAACAACAATTAATAATTCATTGTTGGATTTTGAACTTTTGTTGTATGGGTATATACTCCACATATTGATTAAAGCAAAGTTCATAGATTTTAGCATACTTTAGTTTAAAAAACTTGTTTGCTTTTTGTTTAAAATAAATACAATGCCAGTAATTTACAAATTGTATAGAATAAATTAATTAGACTTAAATAACTTCATTCAAAAGTGGTTCACATTGTCTGTCTTTCAGTCTGGTGGTAATTTTGTTTATATTAAAAGTTTAATTACTATTTAAATGGGAATAAGCCACAATTAAAGGTTAAAATATGTTTATTGATGTTTCAATTTCCACTTCGGAAATCATTCTCAAAATACAAACAGTAGTAAATTTAACAAAATTTTGTTTTTTTTGTTACTTAGTGAAAAATTCTTCTAGTATCTGACTCATTTATATTGACAATTCAGACATACATTATACATTTTAAAGTAGACGACTTTAAAATGATACTGCCAATATTGTTGAGTTGCGCTCCTGGGGCGACTTTACTTATAAGATAGTTCATTCGATTACATTAAATCAACTTTATCTTGAGAATATCTGTCAGAAAAAATCATAGCATGTAATTCGTCTTTAAAAAGACAAACACATGCAAATGGTGGTAGTTCAGATTTCTTTCCTAGATGGCGTCGTTAGTTTACTGAACAAATGGTGTGACTTGTCATCATAGCCTTTTATATAGATAGATTATGTTGTGATGTTTGAATATTTCTCAGATAACCTACATGGCAACATAAGACTCCCAGTGGGGGTTGCTGCTGACCCTCAGACGATGTCTGAATGGGTTCTAGATGGCCAATTAAGTTGCCATCAAAATAAACTTTTGTGATTATTGGTATACAAGCAACTACAGGAATTTCATTTATCTTGTGAATTGTGATTTACGACAATTTCTTATACCGGGTGTACATAAACATCTGTGAGCTTTAGTTGTTAATACAAATTATTTTACAAAACTTTTCAATAAGTAAACGTGAAGCTATTTTTTACGAATTTTTTATTTTTATGAATTACTTCAAAACTATTTGGCACTGAGAAGTTTTATATGTTTAACACCTTCGTGAGTAGATAAAAGTCCAATTGTTGCATATGGTTGAATTCGTATTGAAGTGAGGATTCCACTAATAATATAATATACAGAGTGTTACAATTAAAAACCAAAGTGACTGATGATATCAGAAAAATGGTAAATCTAGCAACATTGCCAACATCAAATTTGAAATCTCCATATTGCAGAACAGACATATACAGGTTTTTGTAGAATTTGGACCAATCATTTAAGAGATAATAATTAGACTTTTGGTTCACTCTGTATATTACATCTATTGTAAATATAGAATAAATAGATCTGCATAGGAAGAATCAAAATATGAACAGAAAATT